TGGCCAGTTGTAGATTTTTGAAATAGTCTCTCCATCTGTAGCAAAGAAGGAGATTCTTTGATAAGAGGAGAGAGCTATACTTATCTGTAGATGTAAGGACACAAGTATTTAGAATACAGTTATAAATTATACTGGCTTCAGCTCCAACCCATTTAAATATAATGCAATCCCCTATACCTAAAATTCAGGAAACATTATAAAAAGAGGGGGCAGAAAGATCATAAGTGCCAGAGAACCTGAAATCATATTTCACACAGAGAATTTCTGCTGTGAAATAGTGTTTCCTATATGTGATGAAAACTTCATCCATAAAATCTTAACATGGTCACCCAAATAAAATATCACAATGAAAACACCAGTTTTCATGCCAACATAAAGGGGAAAGTGGCATAAGGCCTCACCCCTGAATGAAGAACTATAGGCAATTCTGTAGCTGCTGAGAAAGTGAGAGTCAACCTTCACCAGGGATGAACCTCTGGTAGGTGATCTAATCCCAAGTGGTCAGCCCTAAACACACACACACACACACACACACACACACACACAAAACACTGGGCTCAGCAAGTTATGTGTGTGCGTCTTTGTAAAACAATAACAATTAAAGAAAAGGTCAATAATTTGAGATATGAAATATGGAAGATATGGAGGAGTTGAAGGGGGTGAGAGAGGAGTGGTAAATTATTACTAAAAAAGACTTCAAGGCAATACAGCTATAGAACTCCAGACAAGACCCTCCCCTCATCTTCATCTGCTCCCCACAACTTACCCATCACCTACAAAATTTAGTTCTATTTTCTGGATTTGGGGAACTTGAGAGGGTCTTAAAGAAGAAGAGCTGAACATAGCATGGTTGGTGTTTTACGTGGTGTCATGGCTTGGCTGAGGCTTGAGTGTGTATACAGGGTTCATGGGTTACAGTTTGGTCCTCAGCTTGATGATAGTGGGGCCTAGTGGAGGACATTAGGCTGCTGAGGTTGTCTCCTCAGACGGAATTAATGACTATCTCCTGACGGGAGTTACTGCAAGCATGGCTAGTTATGAAAGGGTGAGACTAGCTGCTCCCTTGTGTTCTCTCCCACCAAGGTGTCACGTGTCACGAGGCCCATCAGAGACTGAACCAATGAGACGGCCATAGTTTGTAATTTGTCTTGAAAATTGTGAACTAATTATGCTTTTTCTTTATTAAAAATATGCAGCTGCCAGGGAGTGGTGGTATACACCTTTAATTCCAGCACTCAAGGAGATAGAGGCAGGAGGAACTCTGTGAGTTCGAGGCCAGCCAGGTCTATGGAGTGAGTTCCAGGAACGTCAGGGCTGTTACACAGAAGAAAAAAAAACTTGACTCGAGAAAAAAAAAAGTACACAGCCTTTAATGCCCTACGCAGATATTAACTGGTGTGTGTGCACGCATGCAAGCATGTAATGATATTTCATTTGTATTTTCATAAGTAAAGTTTGCCTGAAGGTCAGTGCAAAGTGGTCACACTAGTCAGACATAGGGGCAGGCAGTGGTGGTGCACGCCTTTAATCTCAGCAGTAGAGAGGAATATAAAGCGGATGAGACAGGAACTCGCTCTCCTTCGGTCTAAGGATTTCGCAGAGGTAAGAGCTCTTTAGTGGCTTGACTGCTTTGTCTTTCTGATCTTCAGGTTGAACCCTGATATCTGTCCCTGGGTTTTTATTATCTGTGCTACACAACAAGCATGTCAAGTAGCTTTAAGAAAAAGCAAACACCCCCTCCCCCCCCCAAAAAAAGCCGGGAAGTGGTGGTGCATGCCTTTAATCCCAGCACTTGGGAGGCAGAGGCAGGCGGATCTCTGTGAGGACAGCCTGGTCTACAAGAGCGATTTCCAGGACAGGCTCCAAAGCTACAGAGAAACCCTGTCTCAAAAACCTGAAAGAGAGAGAGAGAGAGAGAGAGAGAGAGAGAGAGAGAGGGAGAGAGAGAGGAGAAAAGAAAAAGCAAACAGGCACAGATATCTGTAAATAGGCTATGTTTGGTTCCTGCCAGAGGGAGGTCTGGTGAAAACCTAGAGAAGTGAACAAATAGTAAAGAGTACAAATGAGACCCTGTGGGTGAGTATGGAAAGACAAGATGGTTAGGAAGAGGATGTAAGAGGGACTCACTGGCATCCAGGCTGGGGTGTGGCATGAGAGGCAATGTGCAAGTCAAGTCAAGGGGTGTGTGGTTCAGGAGAGCCAGCGGGCAGAAAGGGATATCTGTGAGGTCCACGGTAGGTTGGGTGGGAGAAAGAATTTTGATGCCAAAGACTTGGGCTCAAGTATGAGTTAGTTGTGTCAAGGCCTGGAGGCTGCCTCTTCTCTTCTTTAGTACTTTAATACCAAACTGACTCTTGCCTGTAGTACTAGGAAGAGACATGCCCACATCACACTCAGCCAGCGGCCACCATCATCACCCACAGTGTTTCACAGATGGCACATTTGGGGTCATTCACATAAGAATCCTGATTGACAGCCACTTGTTATGTGTCAACAAGGCAAACACATAATTCCTAGCTAGATGCTTGGTGGGACACTCGTTTTGATGTTTTTAGGGTGTATTTAAGATGAAAAGTACGTTTAAGTCAATAATTGCCGAACAGAGCTGAATGCCCTGCCTAATGTAGGGGCTTCTCATAGGGCTTCATCTAAGCAGTTGAAAGTCCCTCAAGAAGAAAGAATGACTTCCTCTACAGAGAAGGAACTGAGGTTCAAAAGCAAAGTGGTACTCATTCTCCCCTGAGGTGCTAGGCTGCTGACCCAGGCTGAGGGTTTGGGCCTTGTTAACAATCTTGTGAGATTCTTTAAAGTAAATAACCAAATAGACGAGCAGGCAGAAACTAGCTAGTGTAACCTGTGTGCTGTGTTTTCTAGTCATTCCTCACTGATACATAGATATCTATGTAGGTATGTAGAGTTCGGTCTCTGTATTCATGGGTTCTGCACAGACAAAAGAACCTTGTTAGGGGAGGGACAAAGAACTCCCCACCCAAACTTTCCCTGCTCCACAGTGTGTGGCTGCCTCTGGGTGGTGTCTATCCAGACAGGCAGCACCTGCAAGCCTCCGTTGTAACTGGAAATGGCCTGGTGACGAGTTCTTGCTGTGAGATATACACACGCTGTGCATAACTATTAGGCCAAGGAGACCCAAACCCACCTCCCATGAATCCCAGAGACTCCCCAGGCATAGGGAATAGGAGGACACCAAATATTAAGACCTACAGTCTTTCTGAAATCTTCTGTCGAGGGCAGCATCTGCATTGGAGAGCCAATGGGAGTAAATCAGCACTGCACAGAGCCACTAAGAATCTGGGGTTTGGCACAGTGGCTAGCATTTCCCTAGCGAAGCCCTTCATCCTCCAGCTGGGCCCTGGGAGGAGATCAATCAAGGCAAGGTGAATGCAAGCACCTTCCAGAGAGCAGCTGGTCCTACACTAATCACCCAGCAGGCCCCAAGAACCAGCTCTTGGAACACTGCCTCCACAGGCACAGCTGCTGCCATCCCTTTCTCCCTGTGTGAGCTCCACAAACCTCTCCAGCTTTCCCAGGATACATCTGAGCCACATCCATAAGGTATTTCTAAGGCAGCTCCATCCTGGCCACCCTGCGAGGATCTCCATCCTGGAGCTAGGATAGAAGTGGGGGAAGGGGGCGGCTGAGTGACTAAAGATGTATGTTTCTACATCCATCCTAAGGAGCATTGTTGTTTTTTTGTTAGGTGACTGGCATCCAAGGTCTTAATCTGTCTGTCCTGTGGGGGTATGTGGAGGAATGGAACAGACTGTTTCTCCGTTGCTAAGGACAGCTCAGAAGTTACAACTGGTCCCCAGCCAGTGTGTGCACTGCCAACCCATCCTACACAGAGCCAGTTTCTTGGTCCCCATGATGGAGTTGCCATAAGTTCATCCATCCAAGAAAGAGAATAAGGGCTGGGAGCTGGAATGTAGAGCATACGAAAGGAAAAAGAAAGACCAGATGTGTTTTGTTGTTGTTCTTGAGGCTGGATGGAGAGGGGACTAGGATTCACTATGCCAGCCTCTCCCTCCACTTTTCTGCACATTTGAAATGTTCTATATTAAAACATTTAAGGAAATCTCTTCTGTGAACTGAATTACACAAGAGGAAGTTCAACTGAATTCTCCCCGGACACCATTTCAGGATATCACAGTCACATTCATGAAGGAAGTATCTTCCACAAACACATTTCCTGTTTTCCTATTTCCATTAATATTTAGTACGCATCATTATCTCCCAGCCTTATCACTTAAAACAAGATTTTTAAATAATTGATTAATACAAAAGGCGGACATAACCACACTGCCTTGTTCAGTGCCCATCAAGGCTCTGACACGGACACATCAATATATTAATGCATACACCGAGAAGACCAGGCTGCAGATCAATACACACAGAGATGCTTGGGGATACTTCTCAGAGGGAAAGACCATCAACCTTTCCCACCCCTGGTGTGGTCTATGCCTCCTCACCATGCCCAGTAATGATTCCGCTCAAGAAAAAATGTTTTATCCATGCAACCTCTAAAGTTCCCCCAAACTAACATGTCTTGAACTCTGGTAGAATATATGTTGATTGTATACTCCTGTGTGAGTATTTGCACATGCACATATCTCATAAGCACATAAACAGATCTTAGTGGCTGGAAAAAGCATTGGTATCCATACTTTCAAAATGTCTTTGTTCTCAGAATATCCTCGAGGGATGTCACCAAAGCCCGCAGATAAAGGATGTGGTAGCACAGTCATAGGAATCACTCAAGGGGCATGCTGGGAAGAGCAGCGTGCCAATGCACAGCCAGTTCTTGAGAGCCCATCAGCACGCAAGCAGACGCTAGGTACAAAAGTCTGCCACCAGCTCATAACAAGCACTGCACACCAGCTCCTGACAACAGCTGAACGCTGGCTGTCGCTCCCTCTGCCACACTCACTCCTCCGCAGGCAAAGCACTGTCCAAGGCCACCCGAAACTCCAGGTGCCACTTACCACAAGTGAGAGAGGCCTCTTCCAGGAGACGACACCAATGAGTCCAGACAGCAGCACCTGGAAGGAAGGCGAGCAGAGGGAGGTGAGACATTTGGCAACCTCTCAGACTAGCTTCAACCTGTTCCACTCATAAAAGGACATGTGAAATCCGTACAATACAAGAGTGGTGTTTTCACGAGCTGGGTCTCCACTCCAAATGATGACAGCCTATGGCCACACTGACCTGGCTGTTCGAGAAACCCACGTGCTACAGAGCAGATTGCTTCCTGTGCGGTATTGCAGAGCATGTCAGTGTCGGGTTTACAGATGCTCCATGAAGCTGCTTCGTGTTCCCCAGTCCTCTAACTTATCTGGCTGAGTCCTATAAAATCACACAAAGGCCACTCGTGGACACCCCTGGAGTGAAGGCCACTCTGAAGTGAGGTGGCTGCCCGCCATACAACCTTCCCTCCAGTCTGTGTTCCCAGCAAAGTTTCCCATCTTGATAATAAGCAATAACTCCTTAGACTGCTCTGGAACTTTCTAGACACGGGCTCACAGCAGCCCACCCCTTTCCTGACAAAGCCCTGCCTTTATTCTTGCCCCGGCTCCTGTTGTTGCCCCCTGCTTCTCCTCTCCCATGTCATCTTTATCACACTGAAGCACTGTGTGTTTGTGCCTGTGTAAACAACTGCTCAAACACATGACATTTATCTAGCTCCAGGCCCACCTTTTCCTACAGTCTGCACTCGGCAGGGAAGACACTGGCTTGATTCACATATTCTTGGTCTCCTTGGGTCCAGGAATAACCAGAGACTATAGAGACTAAGCTACTTCCTATCTAACATCTGTATTCACCCTCCACAACTTAATAGAAGCTTTGCTTCTCAAGGTCACAGAGAGATCACCAAGTGCTACAAGGTGCTGCCCCATGTTGCCCATCAAAGGACTATCCTCCGAAGATATCCCGCCCCTCCAGGCTCTGCAGTTCTCCATCACTCGTCTTCTTCCCATTTTCCACGCTGCTCTCTTCAGCATCCTCTTAGAGTCCTAATCCCTGATTCCATGTTCCCAAGATTTTTGTCTGCTCTTCCCAGTCACATGGGAAACTAGCTATTATGCACCCTAAGAAACCTCCACAGCCCAGAGCTGTCTGCTAGGCATCTCAGCATCTGTGAATTCTGTTCCTGGTACCTGTTGTTCTCCCACTCGGCACATTCCAAATGTATCTGAAGCCATCACCTTCCAGGCCTGGTGTTCCTCTAACAAGCTCAACTTTCCAAAACCATGCTACTCCTGCCTGGCCACTCATGCCTAAATCTCATCCCTCGCCCGCCCACCCCAATGTCTAAAAGGACCCAGGGAAGGAGGCTCTGGCTTGCTGATCAAGAAAATTAATTATTCAGGAGGTCTTATCATAAATAAACTCTTTGGACATGAGATCCTGGAAAGATGGGCCTCACACACCTACCGCTGTGGGATTAGGTCAGGCAGCCAACGACCCAGCTGGAACTCTTGGATGCTTTATCCCTGGAACTCCACAAGGGCCAACCAGACCTGTGAGGACCATGCTAATACAGCTACAAAGTCTGCTTGGTCACTGTCTTAGTTACTGTTCTGTTGCTGTGAATAGACAGGACCAAAGCAACTCTTAACAAAAGAAAGCATTTAATTAGGGGCTTGCTTACAGATTTAGAGGGTTAGTCCATGATTATCATGGTGGGAATCAGACAGGCATGGTGCTGGAGCAATTTAGCTGAGAGTTTTCCATCCTGATTCACAGGCAGTGGGGGTGGGGGGGGGGAAGAGAGAGAGAGAGAGAGAGAGAGAGAGAGAGAGAGAGAGACAGAGAGAGAGACAGAGAGAGAGAGACAGAGAGAGAGAGAGAGAATATGGGCACCTGGTGTGGGCTTTTAAATCATGAGAGTCCACTCTCAATGACACACCTCTTACTCCTTCCCAAATGGTCTACCAAGTGATGGTTAAGCATTCAAACATATGAGCCCCTGGAGGTCATTCTCATTCAAACCACTAGTCACAGACCGCAGCCGGCAGAACCAGACCTTATACCCAATAGGATTTAGTCTACGCACATGAATCCTTCAGTCAGCACTGACAATTAACCACAACCTCCATGTGCTGTCCAGCATTCTTTTCCTGGTATTCTCTCTCTAACGCTGGAGAGACCCTTGGCTTCTATCTCTCTGGGCTTCTGAGCCTAATTCTTCAACAGGTCTCTAGAACTTGACTTCTAGCCAAGACCCAAACAGCCCCACCAGCCTGTGAGGCCAGCTCTATCATTACCAGATAGACACCCTGGTCTCAAGTCATTTCAACATTAGATCCCAGGGCCATTTCTCTAGTGAACCTCTCATTACAACTCCTATCACTATTTCCTGCTTGACATTTCAAACTCCAATTCCATTCTTTCACCTCCAAATTCTCCTCTTCAGGTTGAGTGGAAATTCCCAGCAAGACATCTTCTGAGCTCACTATATAGTCCAAGGGTCAGGAGGCGGCATGGCTGGGCTGAGTCCTCTGTACGTTACTCCATTAGAAAGTCCTCTGCCTTCCTCTATGCCCAGACATTAGCCTTCCTCACTCGCTTCTGCCTATTATGACAAACTGCCCTTAGGAGGAGGGGGCTCTCCCTCTGCCTCCCTCCACCTCTCTCTTCACATGTACCAAATAAAGCTCTTGAGACCATCAACAGAGGAATGTCTGCAAGCCAGGAAGATAACCCTCATGAGGGTTGGCACCTCGGCCTTGGTCTTTGTACCCTCTAGAACTGTGAGGGAAAAAAAAAAATACATTATCTAAGCAATGGGGTTCTGCTACAGTATAGTAACAATAGTTGATTAATATGTAGTATACGTCTCAGCATAACAAAACATCTGAGTTAATTAACTTACACAGGGCAGAGACAGATGGTAGGAAAATAGCTCAGTGGGTTAAAGGCTTGCTGGGCAACGAAGAGGACCTGAGTTCAATCCCCAGTAGCCATGTAAAGGCTGAGCTTGGAGGTACATCCTTTATAACCTGGGTATTGAGAGGCAGGAGGAGGCAAAGACAAATGGATCCCTGGCCAGCCAGTCTAGCTAGTTGATGAGCTCTTGGTTCAGTGAGAGACCCAGTCTCCAAAGGTGGAGGGTGAGAGGCAGATACTTGATGCTGACCTTTGACCTCCTCATATGTCTGTGCACACACAGAGGCATGTACATGAACATGCACTAGTGAATACATACTCATACAAATACCACACACACACACACACACACACACGGTTTACATAGGCTCACAGTTCTGGAGGTCTTGGTGCACCACTGGCTAGCTCTGCTGCCCAGGCCTGTGTTGAGGACAGTGCAGCCTGGTTAAGGGTTAAGGTGTGTAAAGAAGAAAGGCCTCAGGGCCAGAAAGCAAAGGAGGGAAGGGAAGGAGGCCCCACAAAACCCTTCAAGAGCTGGCGCCCAACCACCTGAGGGCTTCCCGCGTGACCTCTCACAGCTACCCCTTCCCAGTAGCAAGAGGCTGAGACTTCAATGCATCACATGCTACTCTAGTTGGAGTGGGCTGCTGGATTCTACAACATCTGCCCGCTCTCTCTCCATGCTTCCACAGAAGCGGCAGGCTTCCTGTCTCCGGATACACTGGGGTCAGTTCCCAGGACAGCATGGCCATGCCAGAACAGTTCAGAGAAGGATTTTCAAGCTTAGGTGAGGGGTCTCTTTTGGGACACCTGCCCAAATCCATTTGTGACCCAAGGTAGAGAGACCCGTCCTTCAGAGCACAACAGAAAAGAATTTTGAATCCTCTGTTCCTAGACCATCGGTCTTTTTGTTTTGTTTTGTTTTGTTATTTATTTATTAAAGATTTCTGCCTCCTCCCCACCACCGCCTCCCATTTCCCTCCCCCTCCCCCAATCAAGTCCCCCTCCCTCGTCAGCTCGAAAAACAATCAGGGTTCCCTGCCCTGTGGGAAGTCCAAGGACCACCCACCTCCTTCCAGGTCTAGTTAGGTGAGCATCCAAACAGCGTAGGCTCCCACAAAGCCAGTACGTGCAGTAGAATCAAAAACCCATTGCCATTGTTCTTGAGTTCTCAGTAGTCCTCATTGTCCGCTATGTTCAGCGAGTCCGGTTTTATCCCGTGCTTTTTCAGACCCAGGCCAGCTGACCTTGGTGAGATCCTGGTTTGAGCTAGTTTTATCCAACTCCAGCATCTAGTAAGGAGCTGTGGCACATTCTGGGGGCTCAGGAGGTCTCTAGATTTATTTGATATCACGCCTACGAGAAAACGGGTTGTGAACCAAGTTAGCTGTGAAACTACCACACCATGAAACTGCTGACCCATTTAACTGGCACATTTTGTTACTCAAAGTCCACAATTTGCCAAGAATATGGGGAAAACTGCAGAAGGTCAGAGAGGGGCAACATATAATTAAACAGCTGTAGAAAGAAAAGGCAAAAATGGGCGAGGCAGGATGCCACTCAGAGAGGCAAGGCAGGATGCTACTCGGAGAGGCGAGGCTTCCCCTTTCAAGCCTGTCGAGTGACAAGGATACCAACTTGCTCTTTCCGCTTCCCTGCCCGACCTAGAAGTCACCAGAGATAAAATTAGAATTGAAACAGAAGTTCCTGCTGCAGCCGATGAAGAGAGGAACAGACTGTCAGGCAGGAACGGCCCTATTAGAGCCCAAAGTAGTTTCCACGGGACGGTACCACTGCCGGCCAGACAGGCCTGGAGTACACACGCGCTGTAGATCTTGTCTTCCTAATGCTAGAATGTTCCCTTGATGCTGACAATCAAGAATTTTGTTCAGATCATCAGATCCGATTCAGAGGCAAATGATGAGGCAATATTTTAAGCAGTGGAAGGCGTCCTTGTAGAAGGAAGATGAGAGTCAATTCAATTACTTTCCCAAACACATGGCAGGTGTGCCCACAGCTACCGCAGAGTCAGCTTGCGGCCAAGAAGCCGCATTTGCTCCATGCCTGGGGAAGGAAGCTGTTGCAGAAACAGAGCAAGTGAGTTGCCGGGGATGAGTGATGCCTAGTGAGCTGTAACAGCCACAGCGCTTCA